TTAAGGACTCCCGTTGCTTTCTTTTGCGTTGCTGTTGTTTGTCTTCTTTTTTCTCTCACCATTTCAGCTTCCATTTGACTTTTTGAATGAGAATGAATAATGTGGATATTTGACCATTTACAATGACAAATGATCTGCAAACATTATTGGTCCAGTATCTTTCAGTTGCCTGGTTAATAACGAATTAACTTTCTCCACGACGCAACCTGGATTACATTTGTGGAATATACTCTTATACCAATGGAAAAGTATCTATTTGTAATACAACGTCACGATTGTAGCTTATAACATAACTGATCGTATCTGTAAAATAGCTTCCTTATTACCCAATTTGGATATAAATCAAATCAAAAATAAGATTCGGATTTGTACACACCCAAGTTATATTGAGGAATTACTTCAAGCTTTATTTTTTCCCAAGTATTTTTAATCCATCCAAAACTTACTTGGGTTTTTTTGTTAATGCGAAGTTAATATTCCTATATTTCATGACGTGCTCCATTGAATGACTGGTTATCATATTGTTCCCACAGACCTAAGACAAAAACGCCAGCAACCATGTAACTTAACCATGAACCAAATTTATGAAATTTATATAATGCTTATCCATGCCTGTATATTTGGTGTGTCCTACACAAGTAGGAAAAAATGTGTATTTTATTAAAACATTATTATTAATTATGATTGCTAATCGTATATGTAATTTATCATATTGATGATGCCTGTAAACTGGCGTCTCTCATGTACAAAATGAGAATATACTATTATTATTATAAAATAAGTGTGTAACAGATGTGAACAACGGTGTAATAGCAACGAAAAAAAGGTAACAAAAACTAATGGGACTATTTGTTAGAGTGCCGCAGCGTAGGCACAGAGCAGTTTACACCAAAGATAATAACATTCAAATAGCAACTTGAAGCCTGAAATACCTTTATTCGTGCAAGTCAGTTTAACAATTACCCTCTCTCTAACACAGTTAGCTTATCCTCATTAAACTGACCATTGACGTTCGTCCTTTCAAACGGACCGATACAAGCATAATGACAGCATAAGGCACATAACATCATGGACGTTAGCTTCAATGTGGACGACAACACCGACGACGACTGAGTGGTACCAGTTGGTGAACTTAGCGGTGTATCAGAAGCTGTTATTGTTCGGCTTTCAGAAAGTTGTCTAACTGCAAGACTACCACCACTGCTGTCTTTTACTATTAGCTCCGGTTTAGCACTAACATCTGATGATAGGTGGGCTACACGCTGATCAATTACACTGACGGTCTCACAAGTATCCATACCTTCTGCAACTGCATCTGCATTTAATTCTACTTCACGTTCAAGTTGTACAGAACCTTTGTTCAACTAAGCAGTAGTAGGCATTCCCCTCGTCTCATCATGATCAGCCAAAGAAAAATGTGCACTATCATGATCACTGTCACAACTATCCACTTTACCGTCCTCTATCCGGTCGACTTCGTCATTTTCAAACTCTTTGATAACAGCAGTAGACAACTAGGGTTCTTCCTCACAAATCCTTACAGGTTCTGTACCTTTACTCTGACTAGTAATACCATGAAAAATTATGGAATCAGAAGTGTACTCTGAAATTGTAACTCTCTTCCCATGCAAAACCTGTGGTGTCGTGTGTGACACTACTCAGCAATGGCTTACCAGTTGTAGCTACAGGCCTCTTCATTGTACCATTATTGTCACCTTGTTCACAGTCAGACCTTGATTTCACATTTAGCTTACCACTAAACTTGGTCACTTCTTCACAGTTCGCCTTTGTGTGCACTCCTTGCAGACATGTAAAACGCAACCGTGTTTGTCTCGCAGCTTGTAAGCAATCTGTTGGGGACGTCTCACGAAAGCTGTTACACTCACTTAGTTTATATAGATTACTATACACCACGAAGCCTTCTCGATATCCACTTCGCTGAGACTCCTTCGTCATAAATGACTGCGTTTCGCACTCAGACTTCTCTATTCGAGAGGTGGGATGCAATATACTGGCGAACTTGCTCATAGCTTGATTGACACTTTCTTTTACCAGTTTCAGAATATCCTTGAACTTTGGCTCATTAAGTTCATCCTCTATCCGGGAACTATCCTTTGTTAATTTCCTTTGTAGACGAACCGGTTATTTCTTGACAACTGTCTCAAGCAACGCACTTGGTTTCAACTCATCCATATTGCTAAGATAAAGGAGAGTATTTCTGTATACCATTAAATTATCGAAGATCTGCGAGTTCCTCGGGGTTGTCTCTTAACTACGCCCCATTACCTCTAACGGTCTCAAAAATACTACGGGAAATTATAAATAGCCTTCCAAAGCCTCGGCGTAATATCTTCATGGCCTCAGTATATCCTTCGTTTGGGGGCATAGCCTTTCAGCAGTGTATAGGTCTGGCAGCAACACCAGTGCTGTGTCTCAACAAATACATTAACTTCATTTCGTAATTTGTTGCAAACCCACTTAACATGACCCCTAACTCCTTCACAAACTGTGGATAGTCAGCTGAGGTTCTGTCAGACCACCGAGGTTCGTATTTGTCCTTTCTTTGACCTAGGCATTACTGAACTAGAACTAAAAATCCAGAAAAGTTCCAGATAACACTTGTCCAAAGGAGACTTGCAGGCATCAGGAAAGATGAACAGAAACTATCAGAAACTGTCAATGTCCAGGTGTTACCACACTGGACCTCACGCTGTCCTTGGAAGGCTTTCAGAAACGATTTGTAATAACTAACACGAAAAACCAGAATGCAAACCGATGACGCAAGAACCGTTTATTCTTGCATCGACACAGAGCCAACCATGAAGTTATTATACACAGAGTCTAAGAATAAATGTTATAACAATAAATCACAATAATGCTTTTGATAGTTTTCTCTCTTCCAATGAACAGCAAACAATGAGACGATGACTGCTGTATTGATGAATCCTGCGAAAAATATGGAGTTTGGTTTGAGCAAACAACAATGAATGTGGTTGCGTGTTAGCGCATGCATTGCAATTGCTGAGCTTTTTTCTAAATTACTTATCTTCTCGGGGTCAACCATTCTTAGCTTTATCTTACAATCTTCAACTACATTGACAGCCGTCCTCGTCGAATTTGCACATGAACAAACCATTCGTCTCTTCGAGTTGCCCACCAATGGCTACAAGTTTCCATATCAAACGTTCAATGTTCACATCCATTGACAAATGGCTTATGTCTTACGTGGACTATACGGCTTTATCGTAGGGCCGATGATGTCTTTGATATTTATCCATGACCAACCATGGCAACTTAGCCGCCCGACTCTTCTATATTCTGACGACGTAAGGCTTTGGACAGCAATAAAGTGTTCGGAAGACTCATCATTCAGGCAGATTCAAATCTTCTGGGAGAGTTGGCGGTGGCCATTGGTATGACTTTCAACCTGATAGACTACAAAGTAGTCAATTTACGCACCTGTGGGCTTCAGAATGCAAGTTACTCCATGTGCAACGAAAGCTTGTCCTGGGCGACGTCGGAGCGTGCCAAAGGTCTAGTTATAAAGGAAAAAATTGACACAAGCGTCAATAACACGGGGATGTAGCGATTGCATATGCCGTCATACAGTTTACTTGTAGACAGTCAGGTACACTCACTCCTCAACTCTTTCTAAGGCTACACAAAACTTACGTCGGACCATGGCTTGAAGTGCACAATATCATTGCACCTCCGCTGCTTAGAAGAGAAGCGAACCTTTTGGAGGGAGTCCAAAGAGCAGCGACAAAAAGAGTGGTGGGCCTCTGAAACTAACCGTATGATGAACCGCTAGAGAAATTAGGTCACTTAACACTTAGCTACCTTCAGTCTAGGGGGACTTGATTACTGCCTGTGAAACAAAAAGCGACCAGAATCAACCAAACAAGGTTGTTTTGCCGTTAAGTAACTATGGTATTCCCTGTAAAAATCCCAAAAGGATAGCTCATCATAGGGCAAAGGCTAGACTGTGCTCCCATTTATTTTCACTGCGTGTTTGTCGTGCCTGGAACTGCTTGCCGGCAGATGCAGCCACGGCACCATCTGTGGACAGCTTTGAACAAAGACTGGAAATCATGCAACGACACAAGGATTGTGTCCGAATGGCCTATCCCCTTAAAATCCCATACACCCCTCATAGGTAAAGGACTAAATTCGTCTTACTCAAATGACAACTCCAACTACTACATCTACACATATTGTAATAATTATTATTGATATCATATACATGTGCATTGGTATATGTACATAATATCAATATACCAATATGATATAATGTGTATATTCAACCTCAAATTTAATTAGCTGTCTGTTTTTACGTTTTTATTTCTTTTTCTGCCTTTTAGTCCGAAAAGCCTACACCAATCATGTCATTATTATCATCGTTATTACTATCTTTTCTTCTGACAATGACACCGGAGGTGAAAGGATCAACTCCATTTATGCTACCGATATCCATGCTGAAAATTGCATACTTGTACCAAAAATACGTCATGGAATCAAGCTGTAATCAAAAATAAAAAAATAAATCTACAGTAGCAAAAAGACTTAACACACTACATACTACAAACGACATAATTTATTCCAGCACCACGCCTTTTGGAGTCATCCAAAGCTACGACATTTGAGTGACGGGACGAACTATTCAGAATTTCTCTGGAGACCAGGAACCTTTACTTCACGACCAAGAAGCGAGCACAAAGAAATCAAAATGGTTGGATAGTAAATCTCATCCGGAATCGGAAGCTACCATTCCATGTGGAACAAAACAATGTGGAGTATGAATTATGAGTTTTTCAGGCCAAGCAATAGGCCAAGGATTTGAAGGGACTTTTAAATTTAAGTATATAATTTGTAATGTGTTGTTCAATTGGAATATTCATCACACTTTACATTGAGCCTACGGAAGAAGGGCGGTCTCCGGTACATTCAAACTTCTAGCGTGCTTTGATATCACGTCGGAACTTAGCAAACTTGGTTGCATAATGGAAGCAAGGTACGTCTGGTATTTTAAGCATGTAGAGAAGTGATGACGTATGTTAATTTACGTATTGCCTATATAATTTAGAGTTAAAAGCGGCTTGCTAGGTTGTGCGATCACTAGACGACGAGAAGTTACAATAAAGATACATCTATAACAATGAAATACTCTACACCTTAAGCTTGTTATTCTTTGGTTCGACTTTACCAGGAATAGTTTTCGTGAAGTGTTTGTAAGTTCCGTGACTGTCTGCTAGTCTACATACCTTTATAAGCCGGGTGGTCTTACATAGGTTACTGATGCATGGAGTCGTTAATTCATAGCGAATTCATTTCCTTAAGATAGTTTTTTTTTCACAAGAAACGTACTTCATCAGTACATGCTTTAATTGAAAATGACTTCCTCTTCATTGTACGGTAATCGTGGGCATATTAAGCACTAGTAGGTCGTGCACTTATATTTTGGTGGTTGTGTTGCCAAAGTTACAGATTAAATGATTAGCAGCCTCACAACTAGGTCATCCAAAGGCATGCTCAAGATTTTGATTTCAGTAGGACCTATTGATCCTTTACTATTGCTAGAAGTACTCTCGGTAAAGTTTTGGTGTCGCTCTACTACAACTAGCGTTTCCCATATGTACGGTACTAAGCACCTTTCATTTTAATCAATTTCAAATGGTGCTACCTTGTAGGTTCCAAAGAATATAACTCCACGCTGCCTTAACAGTTAAAGATGTGTAGTACCTGGTATCCATATTGTTACGCACATTCGTTTTATATAAAAGATGTTTCGGTTGTGTAAGCCATTCATATTAGTATGCTTTTTGGCGTTACGCCACTGTCTGTGCTTCCGTACTCCTCCACATGTGTAAAAGCAACCCTGAAGAGATGCATTTTAACTTTCAATTCACATTTTGTAACGTTGACTGGGTTAGTCAGGAATTATGCTTAAGTTATATCATAATCCTGGGTTGCATGGTTGTGTTGTGAGTTATGTAGATGGTATAAATAGTCATGTCCTTATGCAGATACGTTATATTTCCTAAAAACTATCCTATTTACGAATAGTGCGAAGACTGGTAATACTAAAGCTGTTGCTGCTGCTGCCAAAAGGCCACGAAAGCCTGAATGCCTTCGTTTTAAAGAGAAAATTCGACGACGGAAGCTGATCACCTCAACTCGTAGGAAAATATTACAGCGATTAAAGTACATGAAGCTGAAAGGCCTGATGAAGCAGCGTGCGGAAAAGTATATGCATGTAAGTTTCAAAGTAAGAATTTTAATTATGTCTTAGGAATACCGCAGAATGCAAAAGAAAGAAGTTGCTATGCAGCGCGATGCCAAAAAAACTGGGAACTTTTACGTTCCAGCAGAGCCGAAACTCGCTTTTGTTGTGCGCCTTCGTGGTATAAATGGAATTCATCCCCAGCCAAGAAAGATTCTGCAATTATTCCGTCTTCGACAAATCAATAATGGAATGTTTGTGCGGTTAAATAAGGTAACTTAACATACCGTAATAGTCTATTATGTAGGCCACGCTCAATATGCTTCGTATAATTGACCCATACATCGCATGGGGCTACCCCAGTCTCAAGGTGATTCGGCAGTTGATTTACAAGCGTGGATTTTGTAAATATCATGGGACCCGACAACCTCTGTCAAATGATTTGATTCAGCGCAAACTTGGACACCTTGGTTTAATATGTGTTGAAGACCTTGTGCATGAAATTTACACAGTTGGTCCCAATTTCAAGCAAGCTGTCGCATTTCTGTGGACATTTAAACTGAATAACCCAAGTGGTGGATTTCGTAGAAAAGGAAAACATTTCGTAGAAGGAGGTGATTTCGGGAATCGTGAAGTCTTTATTAATAAGTTACTCAAAGCAATGCTCTAAATAAACGAATAACCTTTGGTACTAATCTTTTATTTTATTTTGCTACGTACCTTGTTCGGAGTTCTGAGTTAGTTGTAGAGGACTGCAGTATGCCCATCTACAGGTATCTGAAGTGAATAGTGGGTGTTAACATGAGAATTTAGTTCCATATAATAGGTGCAAACTTTATTGTATGACCGTATAAAGTTCGTTTATCGATGTAAGCATAGCTGCTTCAGAAATAATCTCTTTTACCGCTGAAGTCAGCTTATACATGTATAGTGCTTCTGAGTTTTAATATGGATATAAACGTAGTGTGACTGCACTTTGTATTAGTAGGTTATAGGCAATGGAATTCATTAAGATAGTAGTTAGAATCCCGGGTTTTCGACCACACTTCCTCAACATTCCTAAAAGTAATATAATGTATTTTAGAACTTTATGTTCATGATTTTCACTGTCGAGTGATGTCTGCATCCACTTCACCGTCCTCGTATTATCATACTGAAAATGGTTACGAGTAAAATTTCACTGTTGTGAAAAAGCGTGAATTTGATCTTCGTGGTGTTTTTTGACATTGCACACTGTCAGGACGGCCTTCTATCCTAAAGGCAGAAAATCACCAACTGTGCTTCATGTTTCACTTGATCCATCTCTTCGAAACTTGCACAAACATAAAAATAAAGCGGTGCTGAGTAAAGTAAGTGGCATTTTTATACCATTTATTGGTTTAGTGCAGTTGATAGGATACAAACTTAAGTTTTTATGAATACAGATGTAGTTTTCTGTAGCGCCAGAATGTTTTCCATCCTACCAGGCTTGCAAGTAACACTTATGCGCTGTCTTATGTGTATTCAAGATGGCATTTATTTGGTGTCTCAAATAAGTCGTCGGAAATCCTAATTGGTGACAAATATCAGAGGTAAAGCATTGTCCAAAAAGTAAGCATATTAATTAGGGATACTAGAAAGAAACAGGCTGCTGATTGTCAGCCATCGGGTTCCATTCTCTTACTAACAGCTCTCTCTATACCATTCAAGAGAACGATCGGTCATCTAACGTGGTTCAGCAGCATTTTGGGCATTGACTGACTCAATTTTAACATCGAACTTAACGCAAAAGTTCAGCAGTTCAAGTGATAATAGTAGTAATATGGACGGCATACATGGTAGACATACACAGAATGATGATAACATCAACAATAAGCAATTTAAGTCATCGGTAGCAACTCCATTCAGAAATTTCGGTAGAATTCTTAACAATGCAGAAGCAAAAATGGTATTCGAAATTCACGTATAAACAAACTATGTCGGTTAAAGGATCCTGTGGAACCCGTTGCACAAAATTGTATAGTTTATCTAATATCTTGCAACGATTGTCAGTTCAAAGTGGTAGGACGTGATCAATCAGACTAGCTGAGCATAAAGACTGCAAATTCTAGATTAGTTGATACTAAGATAAATCTAGAAAATAGCTCATCTATGGCACTACACACAACCATAGATCAGGGTGAGTTAAGATAATGGTGTTAAAGTCTGACTTGTGAGGGTAGAAGGAGAGATAGATAATGGAAGCTTTATTTATCGAATCAACTGAAAATGCGTTTATTAGGGATGATCCAACACCTGTTCCAGACAACTAGGAAATTCTACCACGATGAATGGGAAGGAATAAATAAATATGTGAAGCTGAAGTTTTGAGGTTGTGTAGTTATAATTGATATGATAATGAATAATAAATAGTGTTGGAAACGTCGTCCAGTAAGAAATACTGTTCCACTGTATTATATCAAATGAATATGGAATTACGTACTACTACAGGGCCCTAGTTTTATACATGTTTGCGTTTAATCTTGATACAGTTGTGTGACTAACTTGATATGATTATGAGCAATAAATTATGCTCGAAACGTCATCAGCAGATATTACTGTATAACACTGAAACTCTTTCAAAATAAATTTTATCCACAATGGAGTTATACTCTGCAACAGTTCACAAGTTGTGTTCTGTCAGTTGACAGTCTCCCAGGAAATCCATGGTTACACGAGAAGGCTTTGTGGAGTTAATGTTTTAGAACTGCGAATAAAGCGGTCTTGCTAGACAGCGATAAAATCTGGTGTCTGTTGAACCCCCTAGGTGTATTTGATGTCAACATAAAATGTACTGACCACTTCACATTTCTCGTGAGACTTACATTAGGTGTCACAAGTCAGTTGCCGACATAATGGTCCTGTGTATAGCCCATGCGAGGTATATTGTTACCCATTAACTGGCAAGTATGCTGCGTAGTATTTCTCTATATCCAACTTAGTAGTTCGAAAACATGGTTGATGAAAACATAAACTCAGAAAATACCACAATCCTTAGCATAGGCGGCATGCTGGTCATCTTAAGGAAATAGACTGACGTCGTTATAATCCCCATTCTCCAACAGTATGAATTCACCCGCCGCGAACATTGTGTAAACAGCTTACACTGTGGTAGCAACTACTATCTGCCTGACAACTATTCAAACGACCTTCCTAGTAGGATCTGGAGGAAGATTTGTTCCAACCAGTGCTGGTCGTTGGCTCAATGCTATGTGCAAACCAAACTACCACATCAAAGAAGCAGCCATTTGTCGGAAACTCAATTACTGACTATTTCGTCTCAATTATTTTACGACCGAGGTTTGTAAGTGTTCATAAAGATAAAATGGAAATTTAATACAGGTAAATAAGCAGTTGCATAACGTTTCAAGATATTTAGTGGACAAACTGTTATGAAGATGAGCGTAAAAAAGATTGATATATTAAGTAAGAAATACATAGAAGATAGGCGTAGACTACTTAAAACGTTAACAGACTAAGGTCATGAGAGGAGTTAAGTATGTTGTCATCTAAACAAGGGTTCCCTGTGAAAAGGTCCAAGATTGCGATGTGATAGCCAGTCACCATACAAACAATGTCCTCCTGCAATATGGAACGTACTTTTTGCGGTTTTCATTAATTTATACTCTAAGACATAGTCTCCGTTGCATTTTTCTCTGCCAACTTAAGCATCATGATATTCCGCCCCTAATAAAAGATCCAATTCTTCTGATGTTCTTTGAAATATCCATTACTGAAAAAATTTACCGGTTAAGTTAAACCCACACTGAATCTGAACACCGATCAGAATTCATATTCAAGAAAGTCGCTTAATCGTTAGAAAAATGTGCTGAACCATATTACAAACATGACATTACATTGTACGATTGTCTCTTCTGTGTTGTAAGAATGTTTCCTAGTTGCTCCGGGGACAATCTATGGAGAAATCACATCACGCGCGATCGATGTATTCATCGAAGTGACTGTAAATTATGATTCTTCGGGATCCATTGTTTAGTCTAAACGGAACTGTAATCCTACCCTTAACCTTAAATTCCAACCCTAGCCTAAAAACAATAAACCTACTTGAGAGTGTCGATTTACAGAAAAAAGTGCCTAGGGAATAAGTGGAATACTGTGCCTACCCTCACGAAATCCATAAAGGTAGGCAAGATTTGACTTGGAATAACTTTTCGCAGCGTATTCTAAATCTAATTGGCTCCTGTAGGTCAAGTTTTTACAGACTTTGACTTTGGTTAGTTTAACTTCGCCCTCTTGTTTGAAATTTAGACCTATTGCTATTACCTCGCCTATTCTAAAAGCTATGGAAAAGTTATTCTTACTTAATCTTCAACCTTCACTTAAAGCCTTTAACGATCCCAAACAATTCGCCTATAAACACAGTAGAAGTACTTTAGATGTAGCTGCAGTCTTGTATCATAACATTGTCTGCAGCTTAGACAAGGGGACTAAATTCGTTCGCTGCACCTTCCTAGATTACATATCTGCTTTCGACCCAGTACCTAGGGATATTTTGTTAAACAAGTTTGCTGAAATTCAAACTGACTGTTGGGTTGTCAAATGGCTGAATTCTTATTTCTCAGGAAGAGAGCGGTACACTGTATGTCAGGGAAAGTCATCCACTTAGTTGCTTACTGAGGCTGGTGTCCCTCAAGGCGCTGTTTTATTTTTTCTTGTATGACTTGCCTCACTCTGATGGAATGAACTTTGTTAAGTATGCCGATGATCCATTTCAGTGTCTGTTAATTCCCAGCTAGACTGTACTAAGATGAACAGCTTTCTATCAGAAATTAGCAAGTGGTCTTCGTCTAACGGTCTTAAACTAAATCTTTCCAAATGTCAGACTGTTAATTTCAGTTTTCGATGTAAACGAAAGTTAAATGAAGCCATTGGTTGCTATGACCCTTGCAAAATTTATGATACTGATATAGAAATCAAGTCTGAAGTTAAGTATCTTGGATTAATTCTTTCTTCTGACCTATCCTGGTCTTTCCATGTATTAGTGATTTCTGAAAGAATATTTCGTCTGGCTTTTTACATTAAGAAGTTGAGGCACTCAGGCATAGTCCAACCACTCCTCTTACAGTTTGTCAACTCGCGTATTTTACATATTCTTCTCTAACTGTTCACCCTTATTGTTTCCTGGATCGCTTAAAAAAGACTATGTCATACTTCGTAGAAATCTGAAGACTGTCAGTAGGACGAGTGGTATCCCATTGGTTCATATCGTAGACATTGTTACTGAAAGGCACTTGATGTCATGCAACAAATTTGCCAAAGGAATTTTGTCAGACTCTGAGCACCCACTCTACCCGCAGCTCCAACCCTGTGTCTCCTCAGGTAAAACAAGAAGTCTTTTCAGAAGACTTTATGCACGTACGTCTAAGTATAAAAACTCCACTATACCATATTTAGCACGTACTTTATGCGATGAAAATAGTGTCAGGCATGAACTAACTAACCTTTTTGCACTACTAAATAAACCATTTCCTCCACCCTTACAACATCAAACTTTATTCTAATTGTATTTCTTATATTTATAATCCTCTCAAATTTTGTTTTGGTTTATTTTTTTCATAAGTGTGAACATCATTTAAGCTGTGTTATAACTGTTAATCTTGTATTTCCCCTCACCATACCATATCAGCAAAACATTAGATCCAATAATCTATAACATGGTAAAATTTCCAAACTGAATCGTCAGTAGTGTTTGACACAAACTCACTGTTATTATTATTACATTTAACACTGTCAATTCGTGCTTTGAATATTTTTGACTTTATATCGTAAACGTGGACAAATTCCTCTGGTTACCTTTGTTTTAATTTTATTTATATTTTAAGTAAATCAGATGCGTCGGTGGCACAGCGGTTAGGACGCTCGCCGACTATGCATATGGTCCGGGGTTCTATCCCCGGCCGACGCACTCCTTTACCTCGCCTAGCCATAAACAATGCTGGTAAAGAGGAAAGGTTGGGCATGAGGCTAGCAACCCCATCCTGTAAAATAAACACTGCTACAGAAACTTCAAGTCACTGGCTTGAAGCCCTATGTTCCACTGGGAACGTGAAGGAAAAATTATTATTTATTTAAATCAGATGCAATATTGTGACAAATGCTGGGAATTACATTCTGTATTATAAGTACTGCTGTATTTGGAATAATATTAGATTGTTATTATTATTATTTTGAAGTTAATGAATGCATTGGTGACCTGAAATGATGGGTTGTAGATTTTCTGTTATACTTGAATTATGAATATGTTATCAGTTAATCTTTTCATGTGTTTGCTTGGAGAGATTTAATTGATTTCAAGATTGATCGTCAACGGACTTCATTTGAACGACCATGGAGTACTGGATAGATGCTTCGTTCTTGTTTGAGCTTCTTCACCAGGACGCTTAGCTATCCATTACTCCCTGGTTTCAAGTGGCTCTCTAACTGACGTTCATGATCAATCTTATAATCAATCAAATCACTGCAAACAAACACTTGAAAATTAATCTAGCGCTTACAGGACGAAGTTGCCTAAATTTCCAGTAGGAAACCGTGACCACCAAGTTGTCTGTGAAGCCAAAAACTCCCGGCCATAACACTGACTGGCAGTCGCGTATTGACAGAAGTTAGAACAGACGGGCTACTGATCTCGTCACAGTGCCTTAATGGTCAATGAGATAGCCTTGTAACTTGAAGGTTTTTAATTCCATCTCTGATGGTGTCATGGGTGTGTACTACTATTGAAGAGTCTTAGGTGAAAACGAGACGGCTGTCTAGTAGTTCCTAGTTTTCAACGCTTGTCTCAATAAAGTCAGTTCGTGACCAGTCTTGAAATAGATCTTTTGAATTAATCGCTACAGCTGGGCCAAGTGTTGCTTCCAATTTACAGTATCTGCTATATAATTTAATCCGGACTAAGTTGTAAATTCATTCTTTTGACGATATCGAATGTTATCGAAACAAAATCACTATATACTTGTGTTATTTCTTCTGAACAAAACCTATTAAAATTTGTAATTCACATAAACAATCTTAATATCTGTTATCATCACATATCAACACAAATTCTAGGTTCCAGTTTTGTAGTGCCAACACTTTAACACAAGTACACGTGTGCAAGGTTATCAATTTTTGAAAAATCCTTTTTAATTCTATGAGCTATACCGAAATAGTTTTCTGTAACTAAGTACAGTGGCAGCTAAATGTTACAGAAGAGATGTGTATTTCCTCCTAAGAATAACACTAAATGTAAGCATCTGACTGTCTTTCACTAAGATATGTCTTCTTTGTGTGCTGATGTTTGCAGAAAGAAAATGAACCAATATATGGTAATTGTTTAATGTTCTCATAGCTTTCTTATTCAACCATGGACATTTCACCGCCAGACTTGATGACACCATTAACACTCGATTCATTGAGAAGTGAATGTAAACAAACTATTCATCATACATATATTTCTATTTACATTTGAGCAACCGTTATTGATGATTTACAGATTGGTTCCAAAGAATGTAGAACTGACAACTTTTATAAATCTCAGCTTCCGAGTGTTACCTGTTGCATTCTTAATTAGAAGCCAACTATCTACTGAATATTGATAGGTGTTTTGATAGTCACGTTGTCAATTCACGCCTTCATCTATGGGGAACTTGATTTTCATAAATACAAACTAGTCTTAGGCATTGCAATTAACCTCTTCGCCATTGTATAAGAAACAATAATATTTGGTAGGTTCAGGAAGTAGGGGTTATATTTCATGTCTCTCTCAATCTGATTAATAAATTTGGCTTATAAGCGAAAAAAAATCAGTAATGATATCTATGACTACCAACTGCATTTTCATTGTGAAATTCGTACTGTCTAACGAAAACATTCTTGAAGGTATCTATCTAATCTTCGTAAACGTTAAATTTCTTGGTAACTGAAGGGAATAAAATTGTTTGGTATGTACACCTGAGACTTTATGCATTCGATTCATGTGTTTCGAGTGGAGCATAGGTTGGCAAACTTGAGTCTTGAAGTTTGAGTAACGGGTGATGCGCTTACAGGCCTCACACCTAACTATCTCTGTTTACTGGCTAAACGAGGGCGTCAGCCTGCAATGGAACCCGGACCACACGAATGGTGAGTGAGTATTCTCTGAATTCAGCACTGAGTAAAACAGGTCACCAAGGCTGCAAGGACACTTTGGTGACGAGCCGTGATAGGTTCATGTGAATGTTAGGTTCAACAAAAGTTTCTTTTATAGTGATATCTATCAACCAAGCACTGTTGATCTGCACAATATTTATTATCTGGAGCCTCATAACATCAACAAATTCCTGTAAGCGTATCAAAATACTACTCGACACAACAATTCAACAAAATAAAATGATTACATTCGTAAATGTTAGAAATCTTTATATAATGCGGATTATGCATATATATATATATATATATATATATATATATATATATATATATTATTGTAATAAGGAAATCATTCCATAGTATGAATCCATTTCCATTCCCATTCTCCACGTAAAGATTTAACAGAATCATTGTTAACTGGTACCGAAGAAACTGAACAAATATTGACTATTTCTCTGTGTAGCATTGCATAAAATTCCTCCTTAGTGATAGAAATGTTCTCAGAACTTGAATTGGTCATACGACAAAGAAGATTGTTGGATGATGGTAGTGAAGCAGTTGCTATCTGATAAGGATTATGAGTACTTAACCAGAATAAACTTTGTCGTAAATTATTTATTGCTTCAAATCGTAAATTGTCAGGTATATTGGGATAAACAAATCTGAGAATATCGCCTTCTTTGAGCCATTTATCAGTCGTCGATTGATCGAGAAAATACTTTTTAGTCTAAAAACAATTTTTAAAAAAATGTACGAAAAACAATAATGACAATAATAATAATAATACCACTTTTATTCTAGACAACATATTTAAACATTGTAAAGAATTCTCAGAGTAATTCATTCCACAAATATTTGTACTTTGTCCAGGATCTTCAAGTTAAATGGTAAACGTTATGGCCGGAACTACGACCTATTCGACTATGAGCGAATACTAACTTAATGCACTGGCTAATCTGTCCGAATCACACGGCGACACTAACAACAATAACACCACCGGTGGCTTATGGACCGGCTTCCAAGGACAAAAGAAAAGACTGTAGGTCGATAAGAAAGCTTTAAATGTCTCAAATAACAGTCAAAATGCTATACAGAAACTCTCTCTGTATACAGTTAGAATGACCTTGAAAAGGCAGTAATTCAGGAGCATTGATAGCCGATAGGAATTCAGTAAGCCAAATAGAGGGAAAGACAGGGCTCAGGTCAGTGTGCGATAACTCCTTAAAATAGTTATTTTTAGGTTTCAGACAGAATCAGGTCTATATAGCACCTCCCCCTCAAAAGAAAAAGAAAACCGTACAACAACTTCTTCTTTGGTTTTGGGTTCACTTGAAATCGTACGGCTTGAGATCTTCTGAGAATGTGAATAGTCTTCTTGGTAGCATGTCCTTCTTTGGCTCAGGCTTCCGTAGAGTTGGTAAATTAAGTGTTTCAAGTTGTAGGTCAACGGGTATGATGGGCTGTGCGGATGTAACGTAACGACATCGTGACCAGTTTTTATGTCTCATCCAAGTTTCATGACTCACTGTAACCTAGTACAAAACAGCTCCAAGCTGACCACTCATTTGGTCTTCTGCCCATTTCTCTCTTACTGCTCGATAGTCTCGAGCGTATACCGATTCTCCCTTGTAGAAGTATCGTGCAGTTTTTCTCCGTTGAGCTGGTGGTGAAGGCAACATTGTGTATACGGAATACACAACACTCGTCACATTTTGCTGGAGTTCTGCTAGACTTCTTTTCATTGCTGAGATTGGCGTTGTGCCATACACAAAGAGGAACTGCCGTATCGTTTCCGGTGTGGCCCCTCCTCCACCTTTTAGTACAGACCTCTTGAAAGTGTCCACAGATCTCTCCGCCTAGCCACTGGATTGAAGGTAGCGTCCCCACATGCTGTATACCACTTCTCTGTCAGAACTCTCGAAAGATCTGCGATGTAAACTGACCGCCGTCGTTGGACACAATGCTTTCTGGGATGTCGTGATATGCCAAAAATTTAGTCATTGCTGCAACTGTTTTGCTGCTGGAGGTGTGGTAATCGGGAACACCTCTGGCCACTTTGAATAGACCTCTACCACTATCAAATAACACACCCCATTAACAGGTTCGCCGAAGTTTGTTTTCAGTCAAGATCACGGTTGAGATGGCGGCCATGCATTCGGTTTTTCTTTGGGTGGTTCCTTAGCTGCAGCTTGGCATGAGTGGCATCGTCGGACGGATTCTATGATATCTGTCTCCATACTAGACTAGTATGCATAACTTGTGGCGATTGACTTCATGCATGCTATTCCCGCGCGCCCCATGTGACAGTATTTCGTAGGATATTAGGTAGAACCACTCGGTGACTAAACATTACATAGTTATTAACGATGCTGAGGTCGTGGCAGCGGAATAGTTGCTTTAGGTCAAGAATAGACACTGATGCTGGTCAAGAATTTCGTAAGGAATTTCATACCTTGCTGCAGGATTTCATCTTTTTTTATAGCTTTTCTTATTTGCCCCAAAGTGACAGGTAGCTGTTGGACGGCGCACATCAATAATTTTCGAGTGCAAATTTCAATTTTCGCAGTGTTAATAGCTGTCTCCTCACTTGATAATGGCTAGTTGCTAATTAGACGAGAGAGTATCTGGGTGACCGGAAACTTCTGTCAGCCGATACCTGATGTCGAAGTCGTACCTCAGTAGTATTAACACCCATCTCTGTAGTCAGTTTGTGGAGTGAACAGGGATGCCTGTCTTCGACCCGAATATCAAAAGGAGAAGCTTATGGTCAGTAAATAACGTAAATCTTCTTCCATATATCATCTTGTGGAATTTTTGAACGGCAAGAACTAGCGCCAGTAGCTCCTTTTCTACATGCACGTATCTTCCTTCTGCTGCTAAGAGTGAACGCGAAATGTGCATGACAGCTTTTTGTGTCCCGCCTGGAAATTTGTGCAATAGCACAGCACCAAATCCTTTAGCTGAAGCGTCTGCTGAGACTATAATTGGTAGTCTAGGGTGGTAGTGGGTAAGCAACAATGTGGATTCAAGTGTGCTCTTCAGTTGCTGGACGGCTTCACCACATTCTTTGGACGACACCCATGGGTGGTCTTTACTTAAGAGACGATTCAAGAGTTCGTGTACATTACGCAAAGACGGCAGAAAGGCTGAATAGTAACTAATCACCTCTAAAAAGAACGTAGAGTCTGCACATCTTTCGGGATCGGCATACGTTGAATTGCTTGTATGTTGTCCGTTTCTGGTCGTCGTCCGTCAGCGTCAAAAATAAGTCCCAATTACTTGACACAGTGTAAGGAGAATCCGCATTTTCTCCTCTCAAACTTAGTCTGTTGTCAGCCATTTTCTGAAGGACTTGGCAGGATAATTAGTCATTTGGTTGTGGATTAAATAACACAATCAGAAGTACAAATGAATCTCATAACAACACGATGTTGGTGATCCCATTGCTATATATAGACAAACAGAAGACGTAGCAATCGTAACAGTTATCTTTATGGACAGCTCGGAGAATATAGCTCCTAATACATTTAACCCTACTCCAGAGACATGATGGAGATAGGTGGTTGCCACCTTCACAGTGTTAAAAACAGGACATATCTCTAGTTTATTCACACATATTAAGGGAATAAAATTCACATATGAATCAGAAACTGAACAGGAAGAATTAACTAGTAGATGGTTGGAGGTAACCGGCAGGAAGCCTTGAACCTAGGCTTCATGCTTGTTGGCAGTCGTCAGCAAGACGTATCTGCAATATTGAAGGAACGCATGTCCCTTCTGAGATTCAAACCTGTGTAACCCAGTGCAGCAGTCAGAAACGTTACTACTGAGCTACCTGGGCTCGCGACTGACCACCTGTAGGACTGTATTGAATCGTTTTGATTGGACACTAATTAGTGTCATATGTCTAGTCCTTTGTTTACTGCAGACTGAATTCTACTGATCAAGTCTCTGACTGTAGCACTGGGTGACGCGGGTTCGAATCTCATAACAGACATGAGTTCTTTCAAGACTGCAGATACGCCCCACTGACGAGTGCCAACAAGCACGAAACCTAGGTTAAAGGCTTCATGTCGATTGCCTCCAACTATCTAACAACAACAATCCTGAGTGTACCGTGATGGCATAGTGGTCACATTGCAAACTTGACTGACAGAATTCAGTGTGCAGTAAACAGACAAAGGACTAGACACATGACACTAGTTAGTGTCCAATCGAAAGAGATTTAACTACATTAGGAAGTAATCCGCACACTGGCGTTTATAAAAAACCAATGCATTCTGCTAACAGATATTTAGACTTTAATTCGTCTCATCCGTTGCCTGTAAAGGCAGGCTTAGTTAATTGTCTAACAAACCGAGCAATACCACTAAGTAGTACAACAAAAAACCTAAGTGATTAAATGAAACAGAGAAGAAGCACTAGTGTTAAGTAACTATCCTGTAAAACTCATTAGGAATATCAAAAAAGGTAAAGAGCAAAATGAAAATAATGGTGAAACTAATAATGATAACATAAATAAGAGAGAATGTAAGGCATCTACAGTTTTATCATATAAGAAGGGGACATCTGAGAACCTCCGCAGGATTCTTATTAAAGCAGGAATTAGGGTGGTATTCAAACCTACAAACTCACTTAGGTAGGAAAAGCTCTGTAGGCTAAAGGATCCTGTTGATCCAATTAGACAAAATAATATAACTTACAAAATACCTTGCAACGACTGTGAGTTAAGTCAACTACACAGGTCACACAAGAAGTAGATCGGCAGTAGTCAGATTGTCAGAAAATAAGAATTTAACTACGATTAGAATGATTGACCCCACGAAGATGAGTAATGTAGGAAAAAGCTCAGCAATTGCAATGCATGCATTAACACACAACCACACAATAGGGTTGGTGGGACAGAGTTAAAATTCTAAAAAGTAATATAGGTAGGTGGGGCGCGAGAGAGGTTAATCACTGACTCAATCTTTGTTGATAGAATCTACATTCAACACTTGCAATAGAAATGACTAATTGCTGACACCAGATATATGAAAAATACTACTACCAATCAAATCAAGAGATGAAAAATTATGGAATTATATAAGTGAAGTTAGAAAGTTGTGTGAGTATTGCCTTGACATGATGACTATGAGCGGGAATAGATTGTGCTCGAAACGTGGCCATCAGTAAATATTACTATAGACGTAACATAATGCTATAGTTTAACTTCGCTGGTTTTTACTTTATTCAAGAAAGTATATTATCTGTGATACACTAAAAGAATCTGTTGTAGAATGAATGTATCAACAAATTATTCATTGATTTAACTTACTTTCTCAATACGATTTAATCGATTTGTAATGTATTCATTAACTCTATTCAAAGCATCTTTCACATCTGATCCATGACCTGGTAATAGTGTAACCGATTGTTGACGATTATTTGAGTTTATTTTAGAGAGAATGCTTCTCACTGTATGCAAAGACGTCATATATTCATCCAGATTTTCAACAATTGTACTTCCATGACCTAAATGGTAAATTTGTACAAGAGTATATATAACTGAATATATATATATATATATCCATTCACCCATTACTTCTTGGTTATATACGTTGTATAACGATCCCGAAAGAAAAAAACAGTGAGAAAGATAGAAAGTGGGAAACGACCATAGTGCAATAACTCAGTCACTAATCAGTTGGACAGTTTGTATGGGTGAATGCCTTTCAAGTTAATACACTAAAAACAGACGGCTTCAGCCAAATAAAATAGAAACTGGAACTAATAACACACACACACGCAGAATGACAGTGAGAGAACTACAATGGTTAAGACGTGTACATCACACCGATGCAAGAGTAACCATGAGGTTCAATGAAACTCATGGAGAATCTATGTGAACTCAGGTGAAAAAGAGTCAGATTCACGCATCGGAAACCAACCAATAAAGAAAAAAAAAAGGTAAAGTATACTCACGTGACTACGTTCGAATCGAATAAATTTCGGAATTCATGAAACTGGAAATTGAAGTGTCTGTAATAACAGAAGATAAACTGCTGAACTGTGTTTTCCATATGCGCATGTGTGTATGTGCGCGCGCGCACCGAGCAAAAAGAAGGATTTGTGATTTTATGTCGGAGGACAAGCCTAAAACTTGTATTCGCTCGTTACCTGATAGATTATTATTATTCCCTTGGGTTCTGAGTGGAACATAAGGTTTCAACAACACTTTATCCTCTCTGTACTATTTGGTGCTATCCATAATCTCTCATCTCCTCGTGTTGGATAGTGTCCATGAGATCAAATTTTAAGATTATTCAAGATAATTTAAGCACAAGTTAGTCCCAGCCAATTGCTTATCCCCAAAAGCAGTAGAGTTTAAACGTGTACGTGTGTACGTTATGTTGATGATACATTTGTAATAATTAAAAGAAATGATTTGGAGTATACCCAGAAATTAATCAATAATATACATGACGATATTGAATTCGCAAAAGAAGAAGAATAAAACAACAAAATCGCATTCTCAGATGACTTAATCAAGAGAACTAACACAGTAAATTTAGGAAAACGTAAGTAAACAGAAAATCAACGCACAGAGACCAAATAATCAACTATAGTATTAGCAATAACCCACAAAAGAAACTGTATGCAGACATTGTTTAAAAGAGAGGTCAAACATACCATGGCACCCCAATGTTAAAGAGAATGAAGGAAAAAATAACTACTAAACGTCTTCAAAATGAATGCAGAACACCAACAAGAAACCATCCTCAAAGACTACAAGAAAATTTATTCTACCATACATGAGAAATATCTCTGAAATAACAGCTGGACGGTTAAGACCGTTTCAAATAGATATAGCACACAAGGCAGACAGCACAATCACTACATTCGATGTTGTGCACACCAAGAGATTCAACAAAATAGATTGCATGCATGGGATGCAATAAGCATTTCATCGGTTAAAGTGGATGTCCCTTTCGAATCCGAATCCAACAACAAACACTGGCTGTAAAAAAGCATGATATATATTCTTTCATATCAATGCATGCAGATAATTACGGACAGCAATTTGATTGGGATAATGTAGAGATTGTAAATAGATGAAACACCAAAAATGCAGTCAGGGAAGTTCTAGAAGCCTGGTACTCAAGTGAATCAACCAGCGATTAACAAACATTACCATAGAACAAATATACCAGCTTCTAATAAAAAGTAAATCATCACATGACAAGAATGTTCAAATTCCGAATCAATAAAAATAACCAGTGGAGACGCAAATCAAAAATCAGTCACGACAATGGTTGCCAGGAGATACAATTATACCTTCATTCATGGAGAATTCAAATGACTTCATTCCATCTTAGAACCTGCTCTGAAGGAAGATGTTGTCTAGAAGGGGGACTACGAAAGCTTAGGAATTAAATCAACCAGCTTAGAGGACACAAATAACTCAAAATCGGCCACCTGAGCTACAAAGTTTCTCCATTAAGTACCATCAAGCCTACATACACTTGGAGTCCTTTTCTTCCAATTCCTCATGCATTCAATGACATAACTAACATTAATGGTTGCCAACTTCCAACTGTTTGATTAAAGTATATGAAGTCTTTTTATACTGATTTACTGTTTTATACTGTTCTAGGTTGACTGCCGTTGATAAGAAAAAAGACGAAGTAAAAATGACGTCATTATGTTCACTTTATTGCTCTTGTTTTCTTCGAATTCCTCGAAGGAAATAGCATAAATTTTGTTTTGATTACAGCTTGATTCCTCACCGTATTTTTTGATACAGGTATGTAATTTTCAGCATGTGATGTCGGTAGCCCAAATTTCGCAGGTCGACCGTAGATATCAGGAGTGCGTCGGCAGAGGATCGAACCCCGGACCATGTGCATGGTCGGTGAGAGTGCTAACCACTGTGCCACCGATGCACACAGTGTAAGTCATAGATAATGTTATCCACATACTACCGATACAACACTGCTAACCAATATAAGAAGGACAGGATTTCTGAGCAATTAATTTAGCACTTGTCTGTCGTGTTAGTAAATTATATAAACATTTACACTCCCCTTTTTTTAATTACCTATTTTCATTTAAGAATCTATCTCACCTTCCATGTCTTCTCAGTAGCGGTAGGAGCAGTATTTAATAAAGTGATGATTAGTTATACACTGTCCCGTTGTAAGTGGACAAGCATTCTTCCTAGTTTGTAATCTATCATATGAGCCAAAATCTCATTGACTATTTCTTATCTGTTTCAAGAGGCATCTTAAAAAGAAAATACCTTTTCAATATATTTAATATGTGCCCAGTGTCTAGACTCCCATAAAAATGATTGTCAATTTTGCTCACAGATTGATGACATTTAGAGAACTACTGAAAACCAGGGAGTATTGGATAGGTGTTTTGTCCTCCCAGTTTGAAACTCTTCATAGATACGCACCTATGATCCCACTAGGCCATTTTGTTATATGTTGAGCTAACCATGGATAGGGTTGATTTCATAGGAATATCAGGTTTATGCAGCACTGGTAAGCCGTATATAGGGAAGGTATTCTAAATCCTCTAGTGTTCACTTCATTAAATGTACTTTTGTCAATCAACTTCAAAAGTTCTCTTAGATGCTAGATCAGAGGGGATTAGCAACAAGGAACTAAGACAACGGACCGACTATTAACCTGCCGCCTAAATGGAGATGGATTGGACAAATTATGAGACCACCACTTAGTGACATTACGAGCCAGGCAGTCCCTTGAGTGGAAGCGGAATGGTGTCCGAAGTTGACATGGAGGAGCCAGCCATAAAAGGATTGCAGAGAACAGAGTGAAATTCAACGGAATAATAATAATAATAATATAAGTAATGTTCATTAGCATTAATTTCAAAACGCATACAGTTACCTAGAATTAAATCACCAGAAAAGAAACAGACTGGTTGATTATCCTTTTCAAGTAGGAAACATAAATGATCCGTTGCATGACCTGGTGTATGTATTGCTCTTAAACAACAAACACTATTTGACTGCACATCAATTGGAACTGTATCATTATCTTGTAGATTTGTAACTTGTCCAGAATAATATCCAAGGGATAGTAGAGTTGGACCAGTAGAGCATTTGTATACTGGAATATTATTCGATGAGTTATGATATGCTAGTTTCTGTAAAGATAATAAATGATATGAAAAAATACTCGAGGTGGTGAAAAAGGCTATTTCAAGAAGTACCCAGTAGCTGGTAGAATGACACTCATAACACACATCTAAGTGACAGTAATTGGTGATCTAAGATACTATCACTTTTTAAGCATCATCTTCATCCTGTCAAAACACATGCCATCAGACGACAAAATTACTTAAATGTTGTGGCTCTCTCATGAAGACAGTCTTATGGAGGTAAATAAGATCGAAAATATTAAGTCGTATAAATCTTTATCTTGAAGAGTCCATGCTTCAAAGACAGTAAGACTAGACGTAACGCGAACTGAACTGAATTTTCGACTTAAAACTTCTCACGAATGTACAGCAATTCAATATGCCACACTTCCTAAAAGAAATAAATGCACAATGAAGATTTGTAGACCGAGACGTATGTCAGTGTTAGAAGTTACCCAAATTAGTGCATACCTTTCCGGTTTTCGCTACAACATCAGAAACTTTATCTATCATACCATTCAACACTAACATTCATTCAAGTACTTAGGTACACAAACTGTCAAAGTACTTCTAAGGATCCGACTTCAAAAATGGTAACAGGGGTAGGTTTCAGTCAGTCTTTATCATTGCTTTTCACTTAGATGGCGGAAAGCGCATGTCGTACTTACAAACACCGTATAATTAAATTCGATTTCAGAAACTTGTATGTTATTTGGCAGCAAGACGATATTACCCGAATACTCAAGACGAAATCTTCTTTTCCTGTTAGCAAATTTACACCATCGTGTACGTAATTCAGAGAGGTCGGAAATATATGGTTGTATACCTTCACTCTGCCTGAGGCATTTTTGCACAATGTTTCAAGATGTTGATAAAAGCACTACAAATAGAGTTATTTAAGAAACACTTCTCAAGAGTGTAGAATCAGAGGCAACCATAATATCAGGAAGCACAACATGTATGCTGGTGTTCTAGCAGCTGTCAAAGCGTGACCACATGATCAAATGATCTGCTGACCAGGGGACACAAACCAGCCTGCTCTTAAAGAATTAGTTTTTAACGTTTTATAGAGTCTTCGACTGACAACGGCAGCTAGTAATTTTGATGATTTTGATGTCTCTAACTGATACATGTCATACGTAAATCTTTTTCAAAGGTAGGCACTACAGCAGCATCGTTAAACATGGATTGAACACTCAGTCTCCAATACAATTCGCAAAACGCTTGGTAACTTTCCTCACTAAAGTATTGTTGAGAGCCTTTACAAGAATAAGGAATAAGTTACCTCAGCCAAGGGTGAGTACGGGAATGCGTTTTTCACTCTAGTGTTTAGTGCTGCGTCGACATCAGCTAATGAGACATAAGAAACGTACTATTCAAACTGACAGATGCAGATGTTATTCAAAAAAATTCACTGGGATCTTGTATGAGAATGTCTATTATTATTGTTTTCTTGGGTTCCTAGTGGAACATAAGGCTTCAACTGCACGTCTCCACTTGCTTCTGTCCTCTGCTGTGCTTTTCACCTGCATTCATGTTAGTCCATACTCTTTCAACTCCTCTTCACACGATCTCCATGTCACCCTTGGACGTCCCACTCGCCGCTTCCCTTCCGGGTTCCACTCGAGCAATGGCCTGACGCGCGCGCGATGTCACCCAGTGGTCTCCTCAGCGAGTGTCCTATCCATCTCCACTTTCTCCTGCATATTTGTTGGTTGGCGATTGGTTCTTGTTTTGTTTCTTCCGATAGTTTCTTGTTGATGATTCTTCCCAGCCATTTGATATTCAGCATAGAGCAAAGACAGTTGTTGATATGAGAATGTCCAGAATGTAGTATATACTTGTACTAAGGCCATTGACAGAGTTCTGACTACCGCTGGATGTTGTTGAATTTGAATCAGTGTACGAACACTGTGGATTCATAAGTGTGAACGTTATACGGCTTTTTTCAACCGCTTGGGCAGATGCTGCTTCTTCATTCGGGCAGACAATCACCTTTTCGTACAACCTGAATAGATTTACTTCCACAAAGTGATAGATTTATTAAATCCTGCTTTATTAAAATTTGTTGTTTGTTTTAAATGATTTTAAAATTGTTTATCGAATCAACACACATGAAATCTTACCTGTTTCCTTTGTTCTCAACTTTTCAATAAAACAGAGTGAATGGCTGTTTATGTGAAGTGAAGCTTTTATGAATAATGGGCATTCTTAATAATTATAGTGACACATCAGTCATTGAATGAAATCGAATGATTGAAAACTACACAGTTAGAAATAGAATTTCATTCAGGTTTTTGTTTTCATAGCTCAGACTATTCATATTGTAACGACATGTTCCAAGTAACGCCATTAACTAGCACTAGGAATGTCAGAACAATTACTACTACAGTTAATTCTTATGAGCGCCTACACACACAGACACAAAACCTATAGTGCTAACTAACGATATTTCGAAGATATAAACACTACCAGAAGGAGACTCACTCATTTGATGGCGAACTCAGTAGACATATTATTGAATCTATTCACTTCATAAAATTAACTGAATTTAAGAGAGAGAGAGTTACTTAAGCTTCCTCGAAAAGCGTACTTTTGCAAAACTTGATTTTATTCCATGTTACCGCTAGGTTTAACTTTCAGTGTTTTCTGTCGATAAAGCCATCAAACCTTATGTATGTCCACAGAGATTTTCAAATTATAAACCAATAACGACCTTATTAAACGTAAAGAAATTTTTCCCCATTCCCATTTATACATTTAGAAAAGAAACAACAGATTGAGCGAAAAAAATATGAATTCCTTTTCGATTAGTGCCTCATCATCGGCTGGCTGGCCCCACACTACTACATAGTGTCTTACATCGAAATTTGTTTTACCAATCAAGTGGTTATCTTAGTTAATCAGTCCTAGGTATAGCGGAATGAAGGTGAAATTAAGAGGTTTAAGGTCATCAAAACATCAATTAACTAATAGATGTCAGTAACAAGATATCTACGTTTTGAAAGAGGGGCTATTTAATTAATTATGGAATTTAAGATAAGTTAATTAATTTATCTTATTTTTTAATTATATTTTATTTATTTTTGATTACAGCTTGATTCCACACTGCATTTTTGGTACAAGTATGGAATTTTCAGCATGGATATCGGTAGCCCAAATTTCGCAGGCCGACCATAGATATCAGGTGTGCGTCGGTAGGGGATCGAACCTCGAACCATGTGCATGGTCGGCGAGAGTCCTAACCACTGTGCCACCGACGCACTAGTACAGCATTTAAAATTAACTAATCTTCATTTCGCTCTACGAGTTCATATAGACCGGACTACTTCGACCCCCTCCCCCTTAACCTTTAAAATTATAAAAATTGTAACTGTCAAAATTATTTCATGTTTTCTAACCACTCCATCTTTAATTACGTGTTATCCTTGTAAAATTAATTTATTCTAACCATTTCTATCTTTTAAATGTGTATTAATTTTCTTGGCTAATTATTACCCCATTGATATGTTGACACTGACTAATTATCGTTAACAAACATATCGCCACTTGATTGGTAAATTGTTGTGTGTTGTAATAAAAATGCTATATATATTAGAGTAGAGGCATAGATGAGGATCGAATTGAAAAGCAAATATTTCTTCGCTCAATCTTTCTGTTTTCAAAACAGGGATCTTTTCTATATTTAAATCAAAATCATCCTCCACCTAAGCTTTACATATCTTCTCCATTACTTTAATACTGAACTTTAGTGAAAGTGAGACTTTGTGCTTAGGCTTTAGCAACAAGTTAGATATAAAGACAAACTGCCCTGTTTCGCCTCCACTGTATGTGCCTATGAGTTTAACTGCTCGTGCGGTGCTAGTTGCATTGGACGTACGACCAGGCAAGTTCATCGTCAAATTTCTAAACACCTCCCATCTTGACTTTGCAAAGGTCCAAATGAAGCAGCTATACGCTGGTCAATACTAACTCATGTCGTCGATACTGGACATCAAGTCGACCCTAACAAAGCTTTTAAAGTTATTTATCGTATATCACCCAACCTCTCGCATGGTCTACGAGTACGACTTTTACATACAACAGAGGGAATTAGAAGTCATCTGAACAAGCCAAATCTGGTACAGCTCCTTTCTTTGCCATGACCAACTACATAATATGTAACAAGTTCCTGAAAAAAAAACGATTTTTCCCCTCCCCTTATAACTATCTTTTGACTTTGTTAATTCTTAACATTCTAACTAACTCGTTTGTATTTTACGTAATTCCTCTAAATCATCATCCTATTCTTCTTAGTCATCATTGTTATTTTTCAGATTTGTTGATTGTGTAATAACTTGTTGTTAAGGCCTGTGAATTAACTCCTCTTGAATTCCGTAATTAATTAATTTCCACCCCTGCTTCAAAAATAACAAAACTTGTTACTAACATCTAGTTAATTGATGTTTTGATGACCTTTAACCTCTTAATTTCACCTTCACTCCCCTATAGTTAAAGCTGATTAACTAAAATAACTACTCGACTGGTAAAACAAATTTTGATGTAAGACACTCTTAATTAGTGTAGGGCCAGGCAGTCAGCCAGCCGATGATGAGGAACTAATTGAATTAAAGGAATGCATATTTTTTAACTCAATCTCTTGTGTTTTCTAAATATAGAAATATATAGTTTTAAAATTGAGAACCAGGAGAAATAATACTTCAAAGTAAAGCATGTTGACCTCATACACTTAATGCAAATTTCATTAAGAGAGGTTGAATTTTTTCTCCCACAGTTTTCCTTTAATAAACTGGCATGGAGGATTTCATCATGACCTGACATCAGTTAGAGAACCACTGGAAAACCTGGGAGTACTGGACAGCTGTTTCGTCCGAGCTTGGAACTCTCCACCAGTCCGCACCCACCAGTAGGGTACAGCAGGTTGAAGACGAGGCAGTAACTCATCGAAGAAGACATTGCGAAGTGGTCGCGCTATGTCGTGAATTGGCAGAAGTTAGAATTCAAGGACCATTGGATCGTGTCCAGCGGCTCAATGGTCTACGAGCTCGCCTTGTAGCCAGAAGGTCCTGGGTTCGAACCCCGGAGGGTGCGTATTGCTGAAGAGTCCTAAACTAGGACGAAACAGCTGTCCAGTACTCCTGGGTTTTCCAGTGGTTCACTAACTGATGTCAGCTCATGATGAAATCCTCCATGCAATCAGACAAAATCCCTACAAAACCAATACTTGAAAATAAACTGACACGTTAATTATTTTCATATTATATCGACTACTCTTCACCCTGAGTTTGTATTTCAAAAGAGAAAAAAGTAGAAGACACGAATAACAGGATTTCATATTTGACTATCTTAGTGTGGTGTAAAAGACGATATGGGAATGCTAAAACGATGTATACATTGTCAATCAATATCCACAGTCTGAAATTCTCATTTTCTTTAGTACAGTATACACTTAGACAAAGTAATCATCAAAATAAACAAATGGTACGACAGTGAGATCAACAACGCATTGACAGTCTCAATAAAACCTGTTTGTCTGTTTGTTTTTGCAACACTATAACTCATAGAATTAATCCTTAGTGAGGCAGCTGTGAGTTCTGAAATCACCTCCCATCTCATTATATGAAAGCAGTTAATTTTTTCGTTACGAACAGAAAAAGTCTTCCTTGCACGCTTATCGAATTGACTGGAGTCCTTGAGTTATTTACAAAGCATATACAATCAGATAGAATTACTGTAAAATTATTCACCATTACTTGTCATACATAATTGGCTGCAGGATAATCTATGACAGAGTAAAAAGCCTTATGTCACCTACACCTTGATGAGTATGTCTTTCTTAGGCTTTCACAGCTGCAGTTTACAAGTGACCAGTTCATTCATCTCGCCACATAATAACCTCTACAATTCAGTTATTCTTATCGCTAACAACACAAACGTTTTCTATTGGTAATCGTGTACTTCATTTCATATATAAACGCCGACAACTCTCTGAAAAGGTCCATATACAAAAATCCTACATGGAATGGACAATTAATCAATTTAGAAAATCAGAACAAGTGATTCAGCGAAGAGACTCTTTTCAACGAATTTATCATCAAGCTGTACAGTCGTATATATATATATATATGGTTTTTAAGAAGTTATATCCAGTGAGGGAATTGAATCTTAGGTGTGAATGCATAAAATAATAATTATATGAAGTGCAATTAAAACTAGAATGTTTGTGATTATAATCGTAGTTAAATGTCAAGTGGCAAAGCAAATTAATGTCATATATAGAATAATTCATAGGACGGATAGAACTTGAAAAAGGGTGTGCAATTATAGAGTTAGTAGACAAATCGAATAAAACCAAAACGTTACGTAATATTGTGTGAAATTTAATAGCATAGAATTTATCGTTGTAAAAGAGAATTGATTTAGAATGACAAGTGAAATAATACCGGGGACAGTTCAAAGTGAGAATAGTAATAGTAACAATTGACGTAATAAGGAAGAGTATACAAAGTACCATCAGCCCCAACGGGCTGATCTCTGACGAAATCTCAGCACGAATACAGGGGGCTCGTTTCGCATTTGTTAGTTTACGCCGACTCTGGCGTAGACGAGATGTTCGACTATCGACCAAAGGGCGAGGTAAAGGAGTGCCTTCTCGGCCGGGGATCGAACCCCGGAACATGTGCATGGTAGGCGAGCGTCCTAACCGCTATGCCACCAACGCACTATATATATATATATATATATAATATTAACTGACAGAAAAGGTCAAAGGTTAGTAATAAAATAAATCATAGTGCTTGAGAAATTACCTTACATAACCGAGAGAGCTGACAACTTCATTAGTTACGTTCAGGATTTTATCATGAGCTGACTTCGGTTAGAGAATCCCTGGAAAACTTAGAAATACTGGACAGCTATTTCATCAGCCCAGTGTGGGACTCTTCAGCAGTACGCATCCACTGCCAGGGTTCGAACGCAGGGCCTACTGCTAACAAGGAGAGCTCGTAGACCATTAAGCCATTGGGAAGCAAACCACTGGTATGCGCCACTGGACCAAACTAGGACGAAACAGCTGTTCAGTACTCCCTGACTGGTTTTCTAACGGTTCTCTAACCGATGTCAGCTCATGATGAAATCCCGAAACCATTCGAATCCTTGGAAATCAACACTTGAATTAACTAATTAGTTGTCAATCCTGTTGACTATTAAGATTATTCTCAACTAACTGATCATAAATGTTGATCGCTGTTGTCAGTCTACATTGTATATATATATATATATATATATATATATACAGCTTTGAAGTAAACTTACGCAGCGAACAGATCTCATTTTGAAGAAAAACGTGAATAATGAACATTTAAAAGTGATTAATTTTAATCAGTACTTACCAGTACATCTTCTACAACTTGACAGTGATCTGGATGCCAGTGTGTAATTATTATAGCAGATAATGGTAATCCATTGGTGCATTGACTGAATTCTTTTTCTAAACAATTTAGATAGACTGATAAACTTGGTCCACGAATTGTAGTATCAATAAGTACACGTGAAGATTTCGGATCACCAACAAGATAAGAATTTGTACCCTAGTAGCAATAATAATTTCAAATTTTTAAATCTTTATAAGCATATCTCCTTATTTTAAAAATTTTTTGTTTAAAAATTCATTCTATGGTAATAATTTTAGACATGATAAGATTCATTTTCAAGTGTTAGTTTGTAGGGATTTGATTAGTGTTTAAAGTTTCGATCATGAAGTGACTTCAGTTAAAGAACGATTGAAAAACCAACAAGAATGAAAAGATCCGAGTTTAAGTCAAAGTCTCACTTCACTTATTTCAACTTAGATGATCAGATAGTAAACTAAGCCTTTAAATAGTTCATTGTCTAGGAGATGAGTACTTTCATAAGTCAGGGATACATTATGCGTAGTTTGTAAAAGATTTGTATGTCTTGGTTGGATATATGTTAGCCTCATCAACGCATTATTTAAAAAATATGACTGCGTAGTTCGAATGTTAGCATTTTTGGAAGGATATTATTTAATTCATTCTTTTATTGACATTCTCTATCCTGTCTTCTTTAGGACGAAAAAACCATTTGGAGAACCGAAAAATGAAGCAAAAAACAACAACAACAACACCAGAGGTGTTCAGTCAACGTTGAATATATGTATATATATATATATATATATATATATATATTGATGTGGTTGTGTTCCATGAGCTGGATAGTTAATTTGAGAAGCTTTCATCGCCCTACTAGGCGACATCTTCGGCACATACTTCAATTTGAAGTGAGCTTTTAGATTTCTTCACGAGTTTATTAGTAATCTCTCCTGGTGACGTTGGACGTGATTGGTTGTTTTTGTGTGTTTTCATACCTTCTAGGTTACTTGTATTGGAACTGATTGTTTCTTTGACTTGAACTTTAACCCTTTGTGTGTGAGGTTTCTTTCTTATCGGTTCACAAATTTTGTCTATCTCGATGCGTCTATTGATTGATGATTCACTGGGGAATGCCAAGCTTCTAAAAATTCTCTAGCATCCTTTTTGTTTCCTCTGTCTAATATTTGAACATTGCCCCAGTAGAATCGATGTCCGTGGTTGTCTGTATGTAGTGAGCGATATGAAGGAGTCGATGTCATGTCTTTCGAGGGCTAGCTTATGTCTGTGGATACGAAGACGAAAGGGACGTCCACTTTGGCCAATGTAGTGTTTTTCGCAGTTGTTACAATTTATTTTGTAAATAATGTTGGTTTTATCTTCTTTCGCTGTTGAGTCTTTTGGTTGACATAGAACTGAGTGAATTGACTTTGTTGGTTTGTGTACGACGTCAATTCCTAAAGGTTTGAAGTGTCTTGTAGTGATTTCTGAGATATCCTTTATATATGGTAAGGCAATTTTCTTTGTGCTTTCCTTGGGGGCTTTTGGCTTGATAGATTGGCTTGGGGGTATATGTCTTCTGATGAAGTTCCTTGGATATCTATGAGATATTTTTCTTCAATTTTCCTTAAGGTGCTGCAGTGAGTCCTTGCTCTCTTGAATAGTGTTTGTATGCAATTCCTTTTGTGTGTTATTGGATTGTTGCTGTTGTAGTTCAGGATTTGGTTTGTGTGAGTTGATTTTCTATAAACTTGAGTTTCTAATTCCACTGTGGTTGTTCGCCTGACTAAGACGTCTAAAAATGAGATTTGGTCCTCAGATTCCTCTTCTCTTGTGAATTTGATGTCGTTGAAGACGTTGTTTATTAAGTTGTGAGTTTTATCTAACTCGTTTCTTTTGATTTTTACTAATGTGTTGTCGACGTAACGTATCTAAATCTTGGGTTTGATCTTCGGTAGAATTATGTTTTCGAGCCTTTGCACCACTGCTTCTGCAATCAAACCTGATATTGGTGATTCCATGGGTGTTCCTTTGACTTGTTGATTTATTTGCCTGTTGAAATCGAATTTCTTCTGCATATTTGTTGGCCAATCGGATTTCGCCTGTTCCCTTGTTGCCAGAGTATCCTGTTGCTAATTCTTTCTGGCCATTTGATCTTAAGTCTTCAGTCAGTGAAAGGGGGCAGCTGTTGATAAAAGCCTGCAGTGGGCTGTCGGAAATCCTTTTCGTGACGTGCAGTGCAAGTTTCTGACCCGTATACAAGAAGTTACTGACCTCACATTGGTGTTGAAAATCCGAATCTTGTTCTTTATGCCAGCGGAATTTAGAGGATTTCCAAACTTGTTTCAGGTCGATGAAGGTGTATCTTGCCTTTCCAAATCCGGTTAACTTTAACATCTTCATCCGTTCCGACCACCTCTGGTTGAAACCGTGCTTCCTAGATAAGTGAAGTTAGGAAGTAACCTGTCAAATCTCGCCCGTTGATGGTGATTGGTGCTGATTGTTGTTGCTGTTGGTTGGTTATCTTCATCACCTCCTTCTTCTCTATGTTCACCTGAAGTCCCGTCTTCGCTGCCAAACTCTTCAGCCAGTTCGTTGCTTTTTTCCTGCAAGTCTTCAAGTTTGTTCGACATTAAACATATATATATATATATATATATATATATATATATATATATATATATATATATATATATATATATATATAATATCTGCTTACCTGTAAGGTTCTTGGCCCAGGGTTTTGGCCTAGGATTCTTACTACATATTGATTGATTTGACTAACATTTGGTACATTTGGCAATTCCGTAGACATTTTAAGTTTGCCACGAAACAGACGAACATATAATTTTGAAATGTATTCTTTGAAAGACTGAATCTACACGAAAGGAAAAAACACACGCGGCATGACTCTGATACAAATTGGAACGATATACATACAAACATGAATATACTATTAGAAATAATAAGATTAAGAGGTGGTGGTAATTAGAAGATTTGAATTTATAATTATTTCGAGTTATGTACGTGTAAAGATTAACTGTTTCAACCATGCAACATAAATTCGAATCACTATCCAAATTCACTTTTTATCATTGAATTCATTCAATGTCCATGTTTCCTTTTAATTATATTCATTATCGCTGTTTTTTTTGCTAGCATCAGTAATTTTTTGTTTTGCCTAAAAAATATCCTCTTATTGACAGTTAGCAACTTGTCAAGTGCATATCAAGATAACTCAGTAAGACTACTCCCACTGCAGTGATTGTTTCCGGAAAGTTATAAGACTAAACGCAGTTGTCAACACTGACTGACTGGTTTTAACGTAGAACTTTGCAGTAGCATTTCGAGTTGCCACTCTCCCTCCAAATAGCACACAAAGCAAGAAAAGAGAGTAAAGGCGGTTTCAGAAGATAGATAACAAACAGAAGTATGAGGTAAAAAGAATAGTTATACGGAAGAACACTACAGTTTTATTGGATAAGAAAAATCTCAAAGAGTGAATGCAACTGCGCCAACGATTGAGAAGGATTTTGAGCTGCACATATCACCAATTTTGTGTCGGTGGCACAGCGGTTAGGACGCCCACCGACCATGCACATGGTCCTGGGTTCGATCCCCTGCCGACGAAGCACTCCTTTACCTCAATAAGCCGGTAGTAAGACTAGTAAAGAGGGAAGGTTGAGCATGAGGCTAGCAACCCCATCTCGTAAAAACAAGCACCACTGCCACCGAAACTTCAAGCCTCTAGTTTGAAGCCCTATGTTCCACTAGGAACGTAAAGAAATAAAAAAAATTCACCAACTGTCTCCAGCCTTCATTAGCTTTTACCATCCCCAGGACTGCATCCAGTCAGGAAGTCTACACCTCCCTACGTGGTTGGCTGGACTAAACCAACTTTTGTGGATTTCATTGACTGATGAAGCCATGTTTTGGTTTCACCACCACTAGCTCTTTTCCAATCTGATCCTATGTCAGCTTACACTGTTCGCCGAGGAAGGCGATAGCTGGGCATGCGTAACAGTTGTAAGTTGCTTGTATTATTGTTAAGATAAACATCTGGTATAGAAATATGTGATTTCAATTAGGTGCTTCCGTCAAAATAACCATTAAGCCAAACTATGCTGCTTGCCATATCACTGAGGATTGGTCAGTATAAGTCCTCTTCATTAGTTTTAAATTCCAAGCTATCATAGGGGGTATTCTGTATCTCTCGTAAGAAAGCTTTCGAACGGTCTTTCATTTTCAACTTCTCCGAGAAAAAACAATTTCCTACTGTAAAAAGCGTCATTTGACCAGGCATTTCTATCTTCACATTACAATCATTGCCTTATTGTCTACCTTTTTTCTCCTAATCTATCTAATTAAGCATTCGACATTCACCTCGACACTAGAATCATAAGTTCATTCACCCTCACTTAACTCTGTGACCAAAGCTAACGCCTTTAACGGACAAAATGCTACTCTTAGCCCCTTTAAATCATGCTGCTAACTTCACATTGAAATTTTAACAGTCCAAACTCTATGTCAAATGAATAGCGAAGAGGCTTCATTAAAGAGAACTTTAGTATACATAACCACTACCTTTTATGAGTAGTTTTGTTGACTGAAATGTTAACATACAAATGACAACAAAACACGGAACCAATCAACGATGAAGTTGAGGATGAGTGGAGGACATGGGGACGTCGATTTTACCTGTTCGAGATGCTATCGATCAGTGGATTAAGAACTTGATCAAATGGTTGAAAACATTTCATGATATCACAGATGTGTTCATTCTCCATCACCTTCAAAATTCTAATCATTTATTTCCAGTGAAATCTTTCTTCTCACACATATCGTAGTGTTATTATGGTACCGTCGCCAACTTTTATATGTTTCTCTGAGTTGTACATAGTCAGTCATACATGGATTTATTCGTCTATCCGTTATGCAAAAGTCTTTTTCGAATTGCAGAAGAGTATATCAACCTGGAATAATAGTTCAATAAATGATATCGGTCCCTGGGTATATCGATCTTGGAATCAATCGAATCTATACAAAATTAAATTACGCATATCAGTCTTACACCAGTGACTAATTTGCAAAGATATATAAATTGTATCAGCTGGCGTCTACGATGTCAGGCATGAGGATAATGACTCACAAATGTCACTTAGAAATATCATCACTCTTTCTATTAAAGTGGTATATAAGTTAGAAATCATTTGTCTGTCAGTTGCTGAACTATTGACAGGATGATAATCTGGTCACTGCATAGATTATCTCTATCCTAAGCTGGACTGCCTGAGGACCTTAGAGCCAAGGTAAAAGCTCTGACGACTGCTTCATAGTTCTTAATGAATACAGTGAACGATGTTGATCTCTCATTAAATCTACCCTTTTTATTCCCTACATATCGAATTTGTATCGATTACCGGGACACATGATATTAGACTTGTGAGTCTATCTTAGACATTAAATTAAACTGCATGCTTGATCTTTTATTATAGGTTTCCTCTGTAAATTTATCAACTGAGATCTTCTTATCTTATAATAACATACAAACAGCCCGATTTAATTTGTCACTACTTGAATAGTTACCAGTAAAAACCTAGACAAATAACCTATTTTACATGTTGGTTGTATGAGTTGCTTGGCTACGTCAACAACTAACATGACTCAGAGAAATTCGTTAATTAAGGGAGTGATACAGACAATAGGTTTCAACAGAATATTATTCTCACACTTAATAGTGCATTAGCAACAGAAAACTACATATATTTGAACATTCTATTTCATATCGTTTAATGTTGTACGCCAAAATCACACGATCCGTGAGCGGTTAAAAAATATAGATCAGTTGAAAATATACATTGGCTCCCGTGTTGTTACAAGGGTACTGGCTTTGAACCATGGTGGAGCGGGACTATGAGTGAACACTTCTCAAAAATGCTAAGTTGTAGAAAACTAGAAGGCGCTATTTGCTTTACTATATTTATCTGTGTAATGGCGAATGGTGATGAAATTTACTTGTGTTCTATATCATTTTGAGATGATCACCAATTGCAGCCAATAACATCAATTTAATGAAATGGAATATACAAAAGGACTCATCAATCAAGTACTAGACACTATATCAATCACTAAACATACCTCAAACCGACTGTCAAACACTTCACCGACTGATTCTACCTTTTAATTGCGCCACCATCAACTATTTCACAACCCAACTGTATTTAACGAACGCGGTCCCCAGACATCAACATGCACATGTGTCCAAGAAATCTCAGTCGATGGACTTGCACAACCTCATCGCTTAGCTTACTCTCATTCCTATCTGGAACTCCCTGCATACTATACACCAAACCTGAATATTACACATCATATTATATCATCACGCAACACCTGAGATAGAGTGCAAACATCTGTCGTCGAAGACAGTCAGCCTCTGTATATCTCTCATTTCCAATCGCCACGTCTCACAGTCATAAAGGAGGACGGAACGAATTGTTCTGCACTACACACATCCCTCTCATCCATACTCAAATATCACGTCAACATGAAAGATGATATCAGTCGGCATATGACACACTAGCCTTTCGTATCCGTACTAGGACTTTGTCAGTAATCGGTGCACCACAACTGATGCAACTTCTCAAATGGGTGAAGTGGTAAGCACGTTCAATCACTTCACTCCCTTGCTTAAGACTAGCAATCGCTGCACACGAGTCATGAAGCATCACCTTACATTTAACATGGGTCAATCACATGTCAAACATCCGAAGATTGATGCTCAACGTCTTCACAAGGCTCTCTGCACTTTGTCAGTGTCTACACCTAGGAGGACAGTATCATACCTAAGCTAGGAGTCCACAAGACTGTTCCCCGGGAAAAAGTTAATCGATAAGTCTCCGAAGTTAGTTAGCATCATTCCCGTTAGTGTATGTATGGTGAAATTGAAGAAAAGTGGGGATAGTGAGCATCTTGATGGACACTACTGTTTGCATTAAGCTTCAGATGATAGCTCTCCTTAAGCTGTGACACATCTGTGTGAGTTCCAGATGAGTGCCTTGATAAATGCGAAATACTTTATAGGCAATTGACATGATTATGAACAATAAATTTTGTTTGAAACGTCATCCAGTAAATAATATCGTTTCACCGTGTGATACATCTGATAAACAAACTAATATGGAATTAATTTATAGGCGCTTCATCCATAGACAAATATTTTGTTACACTTACTTGGGGTAGGTAGTGTAGGATGCCATATCGAGGTCACGAAATATAGAGATTATTGGACGTTGTTCGGTATGTCTGTGTGCTGGAAGCTGTTGACGAGTGAAGATGTGAACAATATGCTGTCTTCCTGAACTGAAGTCTGTCTAGTTTCCTTTGTTGTTTTTTCACAAGCACCCCTTAGTCTATGGATGATCGCTGATTCTAGAACTTTGGATTAGTGAAACTTGTCACCTTTTGATAATCACAAGAAGACTCCTCTTACTCTATATGTACTGGGGTAGTCAATAATTTTCACTAGTCTAACGGAACTAACCCTGATTCCCTAATATCTTAGATAAGCCAAACAACATTTTATCATCACGGTGCCTAAACACCTCTGAAGTCATTCAATCAGGTTCTGCTGCATTGCCGCTTTTCAGATTATAGGCAGCCTCTGCAACCTCAGTAGCCATTGGAGGACCGATGTCTGATCGTATGCACATAAGTTTTGGATGTTGGGCAAACTTGGCATGGCTGCAAGTGAGTTGAATTACTCTTCAAAATGTTACTGAGGGATGATTAAAGTACAATTCTCTCCAGAAACTATCT